GGGGGGGGGGGGGGGAGGCAATACATATTAGAATCATTAATGTCTGTATTGTCTTAAATAGCCACAAGAGGGGAAGCGTAAGAAACATGACTTTATTGAAAATGCGTAAAGATTAAGAACGGCTTTCTCAACTTGAAAATTAAACCTGTTAGGAATAAATATGCTACATTCATTCACTCGCCACGCAGCATTGAGAATGAGTGGTCCATGCGCACTGTGAGAGCCATGATGTCAGGGCTGTCTGTCTGTGCCAGTACAGTCCCTAGTAGCCACACTGAGCACTTGAAATGACACTGGCACAAACAGGAGTTGAATTTAAAATTATTAATAAATGTAAACAGTCACGTGTGGCTTAGTGGTTTCCATACAGGACACCACAGATTCATGGCTGCCTGGTGACCATCGCCAACACAATACGGCAAAAGTGAGACACAAGAGAGTGCACTCAGTTGGTGGCTCATTCCTGTAAAGCTCAGGCAAAACTATGACTCCCTTGGAATTTAAGAGGCATGGGGGTTTGGGGGGGTATCAGTTTCTTGAACTGGAAATGGACAAGGCGTGATCACATGTTGGAAATACATGAAGCTGCATACTGTTACATACATGCTTGTCTATGCATACAATGGTGATTGAGGCCTCTAATCTCAGCTACTCAGGAGACAAGGGGAAGGGGGGTGGCAAGTTCGAGATCAGGATGGGCAACCTGGGGAGACCCTGTCTCAAAAGGAAAAAGAAAAAGAGATTGAAGGGTGGGATGTAGTTCAATGGCAGAATGCTTACCTGGCACATGTAATATCTTATGTTCAATCCCAAGAACTCAAAAAAAATTGAAAAAATAGGCTACCTTTGAATCCTTATGAGGACGGGGAGCAAGAAAATAGTTAATAAATATCCCAAAAGAAGCATCAGGGCTGGAGAGAGGGTGGCTTAGAGATTAAAGAGCTGATTAGAAAGCTGGCTGTTCTTCCAAAGGCTACAAGTAGGATTCCTAGCACCCTTGTGGCAGCTCACAGCTGTTGGTACAACATCCCTAGGTGATCTCACACCCTCTTCTGGCCTCAGAAGAGCACCAGGCATATGTGTGGCACACAGACATATACAAGCAAAACAGGCATGCATTTAAAAAAAAAAAAAACTTAATTAAAAAAGAAATCATTCAAAGTCCAGTTACAATAGTAAGTAGTGTTACAATTTTTAAAAAGTGGCGTGAGAGAGAAAGATGCCATGCAACAGATTTCAAGCGGAGGGATTTTTATTAGGGCAAGGGATTGTAAAGGGGAGGGGGGACACCCAGCCTCCAGGGACAGCAGCAGGGTGAAAAAGGAAAGAGGCAGAGAGGCAGAGGAGGCGGGGCTGGGGGGGGGGGCAGACAGACAGAAAGGGGAAGAGACAGAGGGGGGATGGGAGGTAGGCAGAGCCCTTTTAAAAGGGAACACAGTGAATATGCACAGGTGGTGTTCTTAGTGGCAGCAGCTGAGGGCAGATCCTGTCAGAACCCCAAGGGCAGGCCTGTACAGATGCCTGAAGTAGCATGCTCCTGTCACAAAAAAAAATGGGGCTTGGAGCTGTAGTTCAGATGGCAGAGGAATTGCCTAGCACACAAGAAGGCCTGAGGTCTGTCCCCAGCATCAAACAAACTAGATGTGGAGGTGCATGCCAGTAATCCTAGTCCTCGGAGTTGGGAGTCGGGAGGGTCAAAAGTTCAAGGTCATTCTTAGCTTCTTTCTGAATTTGAGGCCAGCCTGAGCTACATTAGAACCCCTCAGAGAGAGAGAAGAAAGGGGGAGGGAAGGGGCCATGCGCGTACCTTCTGCTCCTTGAGCTGCTGTTCCAGCCGCTGAAGCTCCTCCTTGCTCTTCTGCATGTACTGCTGCAAGGCCTTGATCTCCGACTGCCTGCTGTCCATGTCCGTCTGGATCTGCTTGAGCTCTTTCTCCAGCTTCTCCTTCTTCCGAGACTCCCTGGATGCTTCATTCTGACGATGCTGGATTTCTTGTTGGAACTGTGGGGAAGGGCAGAGGGAAAGGAGATGAGCGCTTGCGGTGGCCAGGCCCCAGCAGCCAAGGTCTAGCCCGCAGGATGTGGTCTACTGTAGCATGCTTCTGCTGTGCGTGCCTGGGCATGTACGTGGAACAGTCATGCTGGACCCAAAGTTCAAAGATTCAGGAATGGTCTGTGTTGATTTTCAGGATCTTGACACCAAAAGATCCACCCCCGCTGCAGACAACAAAGTCGCAGATAGTACTGTAAAAATCAACCGAATGCAGGAAGACACGCCGAGCCCTAGAGATGCTAGGAAAGGCCAGCTACCAGAAATAAGAAATTGTGTTTCTTGATCCTGGTCATTGCTAAGCCAAGCACACTGGTTACACCTTGACGTCCAAAGTCTATGAAAAGCCTTTTGATTATCTCCTGCTCAAAAATGTCATTTTCTTACAAGCGTCTGCTCTTGCGACTTATTGTATGGATTAGAAAGGAGGAAACAAAGGGATTTCTTGCTCTGTGTCTGATGCAGGGACACCTGTTTGAACCCAAACCTTAGCAGAGCCCAAGTGACTTCTCTGACAGAACCTGGGCAAAAATGAGCTCAAAAAACAGGGCCAGGGAAACAAGGCAGAACAGAGGACGCTTGGTTTAGACACAAGGGATTATATCAGAGAGCAGCTAGCTGGGAAGTGAGGCGGGAAGGACAGACCATCACCCGGAACACGGAACACAGTAGCGGACCTGATTGATGGTCTGTTGCGCATCTTCCTTGGCGCGCTCGGTTTCCTGCTGTTGTTCAGTGGTCTGAACTAGGTTCTCGCGCAATTTCACCACTTCCGACAGGAGCTGGTCACGCTCCTTCGTCACCTCTTCTTTGAACTTCAGTAAATCCCGGATGCTGACAAGGAAGAACACAGGAATCCGCCTAAGTAGCCATTTGTTCGGGTGTCCTTCCTATTGTCCCCCAAGCCTGTCTTCCTGGGAGGTCAATGGTGCACGCTGTTCAGGAGATGAGGGACAAGAGTGGGAGCTGATTGTGAGGTGTTTGTGAAAAGAAGCAACAAAAAACAACACAACAACGAGCCTTTTTGCTTTATTAAAATGTAGTGTCTATTCCTCTATGTGTGCCTATGCTTGAAGGCGCAAGTGTGTGTGTGTGTGTGTGTGTGTGTGTGTGTGTGTGTGTGTGGGTGTGTGTGTGGGTGTGTGTGTGTGTTTGTCACTGCCACAAACACACTTTCTAATCATGTTATCAACTACCTCTGAGAATCAGGGTTTAGGATGGAACAGTCAGAGGAATGAGTTCTTCCCATACCTGTGTTACTTGGGTCTGTTACAATGAGACCATATTGTTGTTGTCAACTCTTACAATGAGCCCTGAGGAGATGCCAATTTAGGAAATTATTTATCTAATGTATCCACTGGAGGGCTATGATGACAACTAAATGTCTAAAATAAAGCACAAATATAACCAAATAATACGCATTGCCAATTTTCTTTCCATTCACCCAAATAAATTAGTTTCTCCCAAGAGGGGCAGCCCACAGAAAATGTTCCCCAGAACAAACTTTAAAATGAGGCCTGCCACTGGGTTTTGGAGAGGCTGTGATAATATTCATTGATTTGAATTGTAAACTAAATAGATCCACATTACTAAATCCATCCCATCTGACTCCCAGACTTTCTGCAGAACTAGTGCTTGTGGGGTGTGAAGTTCTGTGTCTGATGGGACTTTTGCAGCACGGGAAAACCGAAGGGAGGCCGAAGAAGCTAACAACACTCCCTGCAGAGTCTTGCAGCTGACAGTCATCAAGGGATGCCTCAAAACAGAGGAATTTGACAGTGCTCATTTACCAGCGTCCTTGATATAACATAAATGTTTAATAAGGAGCCATCAAACCCAAACGCATCTGCAGAAATGAAGCCTCAACTCTAAGGCTGATTGGAAGACAGAGAGCCACAACTGAGCTCACTGTCAAAGCATGAACTGCAAACTGCTCCTGCCCCACCCATTCTGCTCCTCGCCCTCCGCCACTTGTTAAAAGGCCTCCTGTCTGAATCATCTCTCTCACATGGCTCATCATTCGTTCCTTCTACCACAAGCCCCACATTACAGAGACCATGTTTGGTTTTCCGATTTCCTCCCCAGTGCCTATAGATAGAGGCAACATCCATCAAAGCTGGGTCAATAGATCAAGAAAATACAAGAAACTAAAAGAGCAACATTAGGTTTGGTTAAGAGTGCCCAGGAGGCACACACCTGTCCCTGCTGCAAGGCTCTGTGTGTCTTGTAGTGTTCTAGGTAGATTCTAGCAAGGCTTATAAAATTCTCTTCCTTCAGGAGCTCTCAGCCCAAGTGGCTAAGGTTGCATAGTTTGCTTTTCTTTTGGTGTGATAAACATCATGACCAATAGCAACCTGAGGGCAGAAACCTGGGGTCCACCACAAAGGGAAGTCAGGGTGAGGTCTCAAGGCAGGATCCTGGCCACTGAAACTGCAGCAGAGACCATGGAGGGGAGCTGCTTACTAGCTTGTCCCTCGTGGCTTGCTCAGCCTGCCTTCTTGTACAGTCCAGGACCACCTGCCTGGGGTGGCACCACCCACAGTGGACTGAGCCCTCTCTCATCTACCATTCCTCAAGAAAATACCCCCAGAGACTTGCCTACAGGCAATCTGATGGAACCATTTTCTCAACTGAGGTTCCCAGATGTCTTACTCTGTGTCAAGTTGGGGGAAAATAAAAAGCTTGTCAGCACGTCACATCCTTTTAGTACAATGTAACAAGGGTCCGACTGGAAGGAGATGTTGGATTCTGTAGAAACAGAAAATGCAGCAATTCTTCCAGCCCAGTGGCTGGAATCTGGAGACAGAGAGGTTGTGGAACACAAATTCTGACTGTGACAAAGCTAAGATGGTGTTCCAGGTGGGTTTTAAAGGATGGAAAAACTTTACGGGGACGGGAGGGAGAGCAGGGGTGGAGAAAAGACATCTTTGCATAGAGGGGGAAATGATCGTGCAAAGATTGGGAGCATAAGCAATGAATGAGTGAGTGAGGGGTAGCTAGGCACCAGCTAGAGAAACAAACTGCAGCAGACATTTGAAAGCCTTTTATTGACATGTTCAGGAATCTGTCCTTTATCCTTTGAGTATGGGTAGGTGCACATGGATGAGGACAGGTGATTTGTGCTTCAAAACCACACCTCAGGCTGCAATGATGGAGAAAGAGGGAGCTGCCCTGCTGTAGACAGGGAGGCCAGTTAGAAGGCTACTGCTGGTGCCAGCAGAGAGCAGGGGTGCCTGCCAGGCCGCAGCATCAGCCACAGGAAGTCACATCAAGATAAAGATTAAGGGATGAAGGAGTGGCAGGGGAAAGGGCAAGCCAGTTCCTGCCTGGGACCTGAGCGGTTGGGAAAGATGGGGATGGGATTAATCACAGAGGGTCAGTGAAAACAGCTGGGACAGGCCAGAGAGGCCAAAGTTCAATTCAATACAAGTTTGAGGGCGATGACTGCATCCTAAACGCGCATCCTCACAAGCAGATCAGTGTAGTTCTCAGCCTTCAACAGAGATACTTTCTTCTGTAGCAGACAGACCAGTACAGAAAGATGCAACTGGCCAAAATGCAGAGAACAACTGGTCATGCAAGGTCCAACCCCAGCGGATACATCTACAATGTAACTCTATACCGAAGGTCCAAGGAAGCTTGCAGAAGAGCAGGTAGAAAGAATTTAAGAGCCAGGGGACCAGGACATCTGCTTCAAGATAGTGCCTTCTGTTTATGATAGGGATCGTACCCATGAACTATCAGCAATATGTTTGCCTAAACAAGACCTGAAAAATGAAAACACCAATAGGCATGCCAACATGGATGGGGAAAATCCCACAAGGCCCCACCCCTAGAGCTGCCTGAAGAGCTACAGGTGCTCAGTAGTTTCTGAGAGAGGGAGAATCTGTCTTCTCCGAGGACAAGGCCCCTGACAGGTTATCCAATGCCAAGTGGTCAGTGTTAGTCCCATGTGTATATAAGCAACACTAAATGAACTCAGCAAGCTGCAGTTATAAAGTGTGTGAGAGTGTGTGTGTCTTGTGCGCGTGTGCGTGTGTGCGTGCGCGTGCGCTCGCGCGCGTGTGTGTGTGTGTGTGTGTGTGTGTGTGTGTGTGTTGAATGTGTGTGTGTGTGTGCGTGTGCATGTGTGTGTGTGTGTGTGCACATAACATCAATAATTAAAGAGTACGAAGCCCAAAATAGTGCAAAGGAAAACCTAAAACTTCTACTCACTCAGAAACTCTCACACATAACATCAATAATTAAAGAGTACGAAGCCAAAATAGTGCAAAGGAAAACCTAAAACTTCTACTCACTCAGAAACTCTATTAGGTTTCTTCTAGAGAAAGAGGTGTAATATAATCTTTGAGGAGGACAAAGGGAATCTTAGGAAGAAAAAGTTGGGTGCCAGAGAGATAGCTCAGGGGTTATGAGAGCTGGCTGCTCCTCCTGAAGAACCTGGGTTTGATTCCCTGCACCCACATGGTGGCCCAAAACCACCTGTAACTCCATTCCCAGGGGCTCTGTTGTCACCTTCTGAATTCCATGGGCACCAGGCATGCAAGCTGGTACACAGACATACATTCAGACAAAACACCTATACAAATAATTTTTAAAATAAATAAATCTTTAAAAAAAATAAAAACAGGGCTAGGTAGAAAACAGTTTTTAGGAACCCCACAAAGGGGAATTTTGCAATGCAGAAAACCTTTAAAAGGGGTACAGTCTAACCCCAGGCTGGTGCCAGGCTGCACCAGGTCACTGCACATGGCAAAGCACGCTGCAGAGGCTAGTTCTCACACTATCAAGAAGGCTTTGACCTACTTGCTGTCCTGGTCCATCGACAGTCCAGACCCCTGCTCAACCAGTTTGGTCAGGTTCACTATTTCTTCTTTCAGGGCGAGAATCGTCTCCTTGGCCTTTTGCTCCTTATCGTATGCCGAGTCCACCATCTTCCAGGCCTTTTCAATTTCCTGATGGGCCAAAGAGTATTCGTGAGGGGAAAAAAACAAACGGGATTCCAGATACAAGACAAACCAACACAAAGAGCAGCACTGTGGCTACAGTGTCATAGTCACTTACAGGAAAATAATAAAAAGTCTTGCACGGTGTGTGGGAATTTGGACTGACTAAAATGTTCCAGATGAGTAGCCTCCAGCTCAAGGAGTGTTTTTCCTTGTGTGGGGGAGTGTGACTGCAAGGTTCTGTAACACCTGCTCCATCTAGAAGAATTATTTCTGATAAACTGATACATTTAAAAATTTTTAAGTGAAAGCCGATATGCTTAACAGATACTTAAAATGGCTCTCTCCCATAAGAGATGACCATAGATGCAATCCTTAAATTATTGGATTGAAAGTGACTCTTGATAATTTTGCAAATCAAGAAGTATATTTTAGTCAAGCATGGGGATCATGAGTTTGAGGCCATCCTGGGCTACAAAGCAAGTTCAAGGTCAGCCTGAAAACATTTATATACATATACTCACATATGCACACACACTTATCTAACATACACACACACACACACACACACACACACACACACGCACACACACACACACACGTGTGTGTGTGCGTGTGTGTGTTGTCCTCAAATCCCAGGTGAGTGCCTAAATGACAAGGTCAGCTTGAGAACATCCCACAAGGTCACTTTTCTTTGCTGGCACTGAAGTGTGCACAGCAATCCTAGCAATTCCCATCTTCAGAAGGTCAAGCCCAGATCTTCATCAAATGCACAGTAGGTGAGCACTTTACTTAGGCCCTTGACTGTTTTCAAGAGAGGGACTCTCACTGTGTGTCTCAGGCTGGTCTGTTTTCTTAGAAACAAATGCTGGTGCTCATGGGGGAAATAAAGCCCATAGCAGGGAATGGAGCTCTGACTTCCTTACCGTTGTGAAATGGAGTGTGGAATATTTACATGCACACTTTAGAAAGGTGAATTACCACTCTGTGAGTTAAGGAACATGAACATTTGTCTGCAATAACCTTGAGTTTGCCCTGCCACTTCACTATCTTGAAACATTTTAGACAAGCAAAATTTGGGTCCTCTATCTAAATAAAAACCTATAAAGTTTAGATGAAAATATTTAGCTTTTATGTTGACAAAAATAAAATGGATGGAAGAGAATAAATCCAAGCTTGTTATTATAGCACACAGAGAGTCCTCTTGTGTAACCACAGCACATCTATTAGTGACTCAAAGCAAAATGTCAATTTGTGGCTCTATCCTGACAGAGCAACCATATGCATACCTGGGTAAAACAAGGAAGCATATCTAAATAAGAATATGATTGAATAATGTTTTAACCAAACCAATTTCACCAACTAGATTTTACCTTTCATCTCCAGTGTTAAAATTTATAATGAAAATTGTTTTTCCAATTATAAAATGAATTACAGTTTCCTTATATTATCTATCAAGAAGCAAATGACAGTAGAGAAAAATCAAGCTAAAGGAGAGTAGTTTCTAAGAAAATGGGTCAGTCTTATCTTGTGCTGGTCTTGGAAGTGAATTTGAATCGGATGATACCTGATTGCATGCTATCGAGGGAATTACCTAAAACATTCAGAGATTATTTCTCAGAGCTAGAGATTTAATTACGAATTAATATGTCACAGCCTTTTATGAGTTTGAGATCAACAGGGAATATTTATGTTTTGTCTTCGAGATAATGCAACTTAAAGATGAAAAACACAGTATGGAACAAAGGCCAGCTTCCCCCCAGAGTCCTCAGACCAAATCTCTGGCTCTCCTGCAAGAGCATTTGGGGATATGAAAAATCCAGGGAGAGGACATTGGGAAGAATGAGCATGAGAATTACTCCATGAGAACTCACAAAACAGTCTCTCCTGGAGCAAGAGGAAAAGGAGGAATGTAAAAACATTTTTGACACGGTATCAGTGGGTGAAGTGCTTGCCATGAAAACACAATGACCTAAGTTGCATCCTCAGAGTCTACTCTTGGCACAAGCTTCAATCCCAGTGCCAGGGAGGCAAAAGCAAGTGGACCCATGAGGCTAAACCGGGCAGTTGGTCTAGTCTAATCTTGAAGCACCAGGCTGATGAGAAGGCCTATCATTAAAAACAAGGTGGACAGCAACTGAGAAACAACTGTAAACCTCTGGCCTCCACATATATGCACCTACACACACACACACACACACACACACACACACACACACACTTTCAGGTGTATACTCATCTTGCATCAACAGAATATCCTGAGAGCCCCAATATTGCATTTTTATCTCTAAGTCTTTTGGGCAACCCATTATTTTCCAGAAACTAGTCAGTAAAATAAAGTTCTCTGTTTGTTTGCAGCTCGGCGAGCCTCACCAGGATTAACTACATTCTCTCTAAGTGAATATTCTTCCCTAGGCTTAATGAATATCTACAGTATGTAAATCTTTACTTAATAACTCATGTCTTACCAGCCAGAGAGGTGTCAATATAATGGACAAATGACTTTTGAAAGTCAAATCCACCTGCTTCTAGATCACTGACCTTCTTGAGAGACGCGATGGTGGTCTGGTCATCTTGAGAAAGCTTCAGGGCAGTGGCCACCTTGGCAGAGTTCACCACAATCTCTGCGTTCAGCTCTCTGCATTTGGCCATGAGGCGTTTCTCATTGTCGTAAGACTTTTTCATAACACTATGAAGCTTCTCATATTCAACCCTGAACTTTTCCAGACTTTTGTCTCCTGAAAGTTCACCGAGAACCTCCTGAAAATCTCTTTCAATTTCTTCAAATGCAGTTTCCTCCAGCACGAATTTTTCACCCTTTTCCTGCAAGCAAGAGCAAGGATGTTACTCCATTACTGTGCAGAAATGGCTCCTGGTACCCCAGAGTGAAAGCCTGTCACATACGCAAAGTCAAAGCCATCAGCCTGCAGAAACATTGAGACTGTATGTTGGGAAGGTTCCCTCCTCATCCTCTGATGTATTTTTCTGGTGCCTATGCATACATATATGCCATTATAGCTAGTTGACATGAGCTCATACCCAAGTAAGGTAAGCCTTAACTCCAATAAGATAGGCATCCTTGGCAGATTTGAGCAAAGACAGAGACAGAGAGAAAAAATGTCAAGATGGCTTGGACTGATGCAGTTGCAATCCAATGACGGCTAAATATTTCAGCTACTACCGGAGACTAGGAAGAAACAAGGAAATATTTTACTCAGGGTCTCAAAGAGAGCATGACTCACCAACATCTTGACTTCAGACTTCCAACATTGAGAATGGGAAACAAAAGATTTCTACTGTTTCAAGCCACTCATTTCATGGCACTTTTTTACGGCTGCTCTCAGATGAACAGCTACTTATTGAGAACAGCATAACCACACAAGTAATGATAAAGGTATGGCTCATTCATTCATTCATTGAGTTTTTATTCCCCAGCCTCTCTTAAGCCTGTAAAGGCAACCAAGGTAAGAAATAAATGGCCGCGAGTGTTTATTCACCAGCCTCTCTTAAGCCTGTAAAGGCAACCAAGGTAAGAAATAAATGGCCCACACACAGGCTATTTCTGTTTTACTAGCTGGTGGAGTATTTCTGTAGTAACAGAAATATTGAGTCCCTATGATAAAATGCCTTCTGTGTTCTTTAAGAACACATAAAAAGAGACTTACTCCCAGCAGCAAGAATAAAGCACATTTCATGAAAGAAGTGGTACTCAAGCCACTAGAAGGAAGAAAGGGCTTCTCACAGGTGGCTCTGAAGAAAAGATCACTCCCAGCAGATGGCAATGCCTGAGGCAGAGCTCACGGCCACACAAGTGCCCGAGATGCCCACACATAAGAGGCATGGCAAGGAGAAGAGGCCAAGAAGCTTGGGAATGTGGAATGACTCCCTAAGAAGTATGGATTCCTGTCTGTCAAATGCAAAGCCCCACCCAAGACCTCGAAGGATAGATACAGTTTACAAGCTTTATTTATGCTTTCCACACCATGCTTTGATGGTCGACAGAAAATGGGCTTAATGTCCATCACCTCATGCTCATCAAAGAAACCAAATGAGATGATGATATTTTGTCCCAATAATAATAAAATTCTAATCCACCCTAAAGATTCTAGGTAGCCTTGTTTGCCTCTTCTCACGATGAACATAGCTTGCTCAGTATGAGGAAGGTTTGTATATATAGTCTTAGTTTTTTAAAAAGAAAGAAAGAAATGTGTACTGTTAATTAAATCCCTACACATGCTGTGCAAGCAAAACACAGTGTTTAGAGATTTAAATGTGGCGCCTGTAACACTTGGCTTAACAGCTTTAGTACTATTTTAAACCCAACAGAGGTTTCCTTGCTAAAAGCAGATTATTGCACAGAACACGATTCAACAAATTCAAAGAAGGAAAAACCACATTAAGCAAACGGGGTGTTGCTGCTGCTCTGTCTCATTGATGCAAAACCTGAGTCACAAACTCCAATTCATCACAACAGTGCTCTGTACTCTGGCCTTGAACGTCGTAATAATGTCAACATTTGATCAGCGGCCTAATGATTTGTTTGTACCCAGGTTCTCCCTGTAAGCCTGCAATTAGTACAGGATTGGGAAAATATCAAAGAAACATCTAAAAGAAACTTTTATGAACAAAAGAGATGTATGTTCATGTTGTAACTTCAAAAAGTATTCTTCTATGAAAGGCAAAGCCATGATAATCTATTAGCTCTGACCAAGAGATTATTGGGCAGTTGTTATCTTCTACACTGTGGCCAGGAGTGAGTGTGTACCTAAGAAGGACACTGACACGAAGTGATTAGATCAGAGGAACTGTGACAGTCCATCATTCACCTACAGAGTGTCTGCCGTGTCTCGGGCAGTGCCCTGGGGTCTGAGGCACATCGGATTGGAAGGAGGAGAGCTTATTCGAGGAGGATAAAGAACAATGAACTAAGATGACCCAGTGAGTGGAGGAGGGAACCCTCAAAGCAAACAATAAATGAGAGCTAGCAGGATCAAGAGGGGAGGATGGGAATCAAGAAGACACGAAAGAGACTACAAGTGGGGAGAAGTGACGTGGTCACGGCCTCATGGGTGTCATAAGATGTGAGTGATGGCACCTGAGGGTGGGGTCAATGGTGGAAACAAGGAGCCCTAAAGAGTGATTAGCCATGCAGAGTGGAGCTTACAAAGGAAGACCAGGCATGGAGGAGACGGCAGGGTGAGGGGATACAGAGGCACAGAGAAGATAGAAGTAGGGTGGGGCACAGAGGTGTTGGAGATGCTGGGACCAGGGCTGGTTTCACGGGGGTGGGCCCATTCAGTCACACGGGATCCAGAAGACTCCTACTTTGGTTAAATTTTCTACTGTCATGCCTTAAAATTCTTAATTTTAACCAAACGCTTTTCACTTTACTCTGGGCCTCACAATTTATGCAGCTGATTCCCACTAGAAATTGTATAATAGGTAAGGTGGGGGTGGGCTCTGGTAGATCGATGAAGAATTTAAGTAAGACCGGGATAGATGAGGACTCTGAATGTTGAGTGATGGCAAGGTTGTAGGGCTGTTGAGGTTATAAATGAGAAGGCTAATGGACAGAGGGTTACTGAAGGATGCAGAAATGAACCCTCATCAGTGAGGCTCAAGATGAAGTGTCCTGTAACACCGGTGGGAGACGGAGGCTGTGAGATGTTAACACAGGGTCAATGAGAACACAGGGCAGCGGCCATGGACTGAAGGGCCTTGATGAAAGTCTATGACAGCTAGTGATCATACGTTAGGGAATCGGGGTGTGACAGGTGGACAGCTTACTGAGCATGGTGACAATGAGTATGTCGATGAGACAGTTTCAATAGCCTCTCAACAGTATCACCTGCAGTTCAGACTGCAGGGTGCAAGTCACGGCCTGGGGATTCATGAAGGAGCAAAGAGTGGGACAAAGCCAAAGGAGAAAAGCGCGAGAGAGCAGATAGCGAGGGTGCTGATGAAGGAGGACCAGAGTTAGTGAATGTAACAAAGGATGGGTTCCAGTAGGACAGAGATGACAGGGAGAGGTCGAAGCAGAGAAGCAACAGAGGGGCGCTGACTCCTGACCTCCGTCATCCTGACGCTCTTTGAAGGCGGCCTCAAAGGCTGCCGTGGAGATCAGAAAACTGGGCTGGAGTCTGGAGAAGGGGCTGTGCACTGCCCCCAGTGTCTAAAAGGGCGACACGTTTTTTCTGATCGCCAGCCCGGCGCCGAAACCCGGCGCTCGGCGCGTCTTCGGTCGCCTGGCAACCGCCACGCCCCTTGCCGCTGAAGCAGGGCAGACGTTCGAAAGGGGCGGAGCCCCGTAGGTCGGTACCTGAGCAGGGGTCTGCAGAGAAATTTGCAAATACACCCGAAAGTGGGTGTATCCAAGGAAATTTAGGGGTGGTGCCTCTGAGAGGCTGGAGTCCAGAGACCCAGGAGAAAGGAGACCTGTGTGCAACGCGAATAAGAAGAGCTGGGATAATCAGTCTCGTTCGTGAAAAGTAATTTCTTTCTTTTTTATCTCTAGCCCTATTCCTAACCCTCAAACTCAGCCCTAAAAGTTGTTCAATGAGTGCTCTTGTGCTCAAATATGTATTTTTTAAGTCAATAACATTTAGTATGCTTTTGAACCTTAGAAATCATCTTATGTTCTTTTTTTTCCACTCAGTGTTGTTTCCTAGGGACTATCTTTTGCTTGTTTGTTGTTTTGTTTTGTTTCTGTTTTCCTAGATAGGGTATCTCTGTGTAACCCAACTGTACTGAAACTCTCTGTAGACTAGGCTGGCTTCGAACCCGCAGACATCTATCTGCCTCTGCCTCTGTCTCTGCCTCCTGGGTTCTAGGACTAAAGGTGTGCGAGGCCACTGCCAAGATGCAGGGTCTATCTTCACTGCACTCGTGCCCATTGCTTCTGATGGCCGCTTGGCATTTCAAATTGTGGATCCAACACGTGTTATTCCCTTTCTCAAATGATGAATGAAAAGGCTGCCTCCAGTTCATCAACGCCACTAGTAAGGTAGCCGTGGCCATTGTTGTCTGGTGTTCATTTTATGGACCTATATGTAAATTCCCCTAAAAAGATATTGATGAGCTCCAGATTCTGCATAGGGGAATCCTGGGGACACCACATGAGAACATGCATGTGTGTCCTGCACAAAGAAATCCAGCCAAGGGACCACTAGAGCTAAAATCGAGCCTCTACTTTCCATTTCCATGCCCCTCCTGTAAGATGTATCGTTTACCTTGCCTGTGTTGGGGAGGTGGAAGTGGCCTCAACAGCTGTCTTCTGTAGCCAATTCATGAACCTGGGAGGCTGTCACTGTGTGACTATCTGGAGAGTGTACCTTGCCGCACTAATCTGCCTGAAGGTGGACTCTGCTTTCCAACTGCAAGGGTGTCCATACTAATCTAGTGAAAGCCAGTGACTTAACGGCGTCAAGTGCTTGCTGTTAGATTGTGATACACAGGCACCATGATACACACCACAGTGTGTGCTCCAGATTCAGCGCCTTGCTAGTCTGCAGTACTTTCAATTCATGAAGACACAGAAGGCGTTTATTTAGCGTCACACAAGGACTTTACAAACACTGGGTCATCTAATTCGTCAGTTTTCTAACTCTGTCAATGGGCTGGGAGAAGCAGGAGCACATTTTTGGTTTTTAGTTCCTCTTTCTCTACTAAAGAACTTGACCATTTCTTCATATACACATGAGGCACTTTGGGCTTCCCTTCTGTGAGCCGCCTTTCCTAGCCTTTGCCAAATCTTTCCTTTCCTTTTCCTTTAAACATCTTAAGTATTTACTGAAAATTAAAAGAATAAAAATAAGCTGAATGGTGGTGGCACACGCCTTTAATCCCAGCACTCAGGAGGCAGAGGCAGGTGAATCTCCAAATTTGAGGCCAACCTGATCTCCAGAGTGAGTTACAGGACAGACAGAGCTACACAGAGAAACCCCATCTTTAAAAAAAAGAAACTTGTTATTATTATTATTATTATTATTATTATTATTATTATTATTATTATTATTATTATTATTATTAGGCATGGGAAAATATTTTATGTTTATTTGGATGTTTCAATAGGCATTAATTTGGGGGATATGACAATAGCTGAAATCTATGTCAATCAAGAGGTTGAAATACTCTCTCTCTCTCTCTCTCTCTCTCTCTCTCTCTCTCTCTCTCCTGCACCTTTAAAATCTATTAAAAACTATTTAAATCTTTATGTGTATAACTGTTTTCCCCATGTGCGCACATCGCCTTTATGATTTGTAGAAATTCTCCTTTTGTGTCTGCCTAAAGAGCATAATACTTTAGCTGGTGGGATAGCTCAGTGGGTAAAGGCGTTTGCTGCCAAGCCTGATGACTTGAAGACAATCTTCCAAATCCCAGGTAATAGTAGAGGAGGACTGACTCCCTCAAGTAGTCCTCTGATCTCCACATGTCTGTATCTCCCATGGCATTCAAAGCACACACACACACACACACACACAGTGTTAAGCCATAGTATTTGGGGTTTTTTGTTTGTTTGTTTGGTTGGTTGGTTGGTTGGTTTTAATGGTTTTTCAAGACAGGGTTTCTCTGTGTAACAGCCCTGGCTGTCCTGGAACTCATTCTGTAGATCCCCCTGCCTCTGCTTCTCAAGTGCTGGTATTCAAGGCATGCACCACCACCACTCAGCCTGTATTTTGTTCTTTTAGTGGACCTTGAAAAGCACCATTAAGTTGGACTGGAAAGATGGTTCCAGTTAAGAGCACTGGCTGCTCTTCCAGAGGATTCAAGCTTAATTTCTAGCATCTGAGTAGTTGCTCACACTGCCTGCAACTCCAGCTCCAGGGATTTGGCACTCTCTGGTCCCTGTCAGTACCAGGCATGTGCACAGTACAAAAACGTACATGTGGGCAAACACCCATATACATAAAATAATTTTAAAAGACCATAAGCTGCACTCATGTGATGTATATACATACACATGGGGAAAATAGTTATACAATAAAGATTTAAATAGTTTTTAAAGATCCTGGAGAGAGAGAGAGAAAGAGAGAGAGAGAGACAGAGAGAGAGAGAGGCATGGAGATGGAGGCACATGTCTATAATCACTGCACTTTCAGGAGACTGGAGCAGAAGTTATCAGGAGGTTGAGGCAATCTAGATTACATGGGGGGTCATCAAACTTTTGTATCTTGTCCACTTTTCTGTCTTTTCCTTCTTTTTGCTTTACAGCACATCTTTGTGAGGTCTGGACAGTAGTCTACCATCAAAGACTGAAACTCCTGTCTTCATGTTTTTATGAAACAATATTACTAAAGTTTGCTACTATAGCTCTCTATCTTTTTTCTTCCTTTTATTTGTCTGTTTGTCCTCTCTCCATTAGTTTGTTCTACAAGCCTCACCGTTTTTGCCTTCTTCTATGCAGTTCTCAAAGCTGTGTACAGCCTGCCTTAGTATTGAGTGTGAAAGAGTGACTAAGACAGAGTCACTTCACTCACTGGCCTCTGCACTCACAATGTGCTGCTGGCCGAGAGACAGAAAGGAGCAGACACAGTGAATCCGGGCACAATGTGGAATGATTGTTTCCTACATGGCTGCTTGGACTGTGTGGCTATGTCTAGCACCTGAACATGGGGTTCACAGAATTTTAACAACCATGGAAGGTTTTTAAAAAGCACAAGGCCAAACACAAGTTCAAAACCAAACATATCCTGAATGACCTGAGGTACTTCTGGAATATCTGCCTCAGTTGTTGCCCACGACTGCACCGCAGCCTTGGTTCTGAACACACAAAACCTGTGCTTTACAGAATGTATAACATCACACCAACGCCACGCAAACTGCACAGCCTCTACTCTACGGACTTGACATTACCGTATGTTATGAATTGCAGGGGTTTTTACTACACATGCAAGGTTCTCTCTCTCTCTTTCTCTCTCTCTCTCTCTCTCTCTCTCTCTCTCCCTCTC